AAACATTATCCTAACTGTCGCTTTTTAGCATTCATTGCTCTTTTTTGATTGAAAAATCCAAAAAAAAAGAATCAGAATAGACAAATACAGTCTCCTCAATGTGTGTTTTTCCCCGCCGTTGTAGTGCAAATCGTTAAAAAGCAAATTCCAACTAACCATGCTCGAGTTTTTGACAGTTTCGCAGGATACGGCTTGATTATATTTTGCATCAGTATCTGGAAACGAAAAAAATATGAAAATTTTTTTGTGAAAGTTTTTTCGTGAAAGTTCTTTTTTTAATTTTTGACCTCACGTGTCAGGGATTTTCCTTTGAAAATTTTCAACTCGCACCTTATTATTTTCCCCAGCCATGCATTTTGCCCGAATCCGCACCTGAGGTTAAACAATTCGAGCGGTTCGGCGGCCTGTACTGTTCGGAGAACTCTGAACTCCCAGTTTCCCTCGTTTTAGAGTTATAATATCGGTTTCGATTTGAACTTGAGAATAAAGCTCAAAGGACACTACTTGAACTACTGAGTAAATTAAATCCCAAAATAAAGCTATGCTCTTATTTATTCAAAGTGCTGAATGGATTACCAGGTCAAGATGAAAGCCCGCGAAACACTCAATAATCCGCTTTGCTCATTTGTTTTCTCAAGTGCAACACGAGCCTAGAATTTTTGAAAGAAATTTCAGGTTCGCGGCTACTCAATATCCAGGAACTTCAGGATTCCACTATCATAGTTCCGGGATTGACTTGTAGAATGTTCATCTTTAGGCCTATTTGTAAGAAAAATGTGAAAAACTTACAGCTCGGCCACCGTATGGCTTCAGAATTTGATCGAGCTCCTTCATTCGTTTATCCACCGGTATTTTTCTGTCGTCCAACAATGCTTTCGTTTGTTGTCGTACCGATTCCGGAAGTTTGAACCATTCCTTGAGCATCTGCTCTTCCGGACTTTTTCCATTTTTCTTCGTAAAACCCTGCTGGATTTTCGAAAATCCATTCTGGACCATTTCACTGAACGAGCTTTTCCTTTTCGGGGTACCATTGGTGTCACTATTCACTGCCGGTAGTGATTCGATTGTAATTAGTATAGAAATCAGGAAA